GAGGAGGAGGAGGAGGAGGAGGAGGAGGAGGAGGAGGAGGAGGAGGAGGAGGAGGAAGAGGAGGAGGAGGAGGAGGCCGACCCCTGCCGCGGGCCTCGGGTGGAGGGGAGGCGAGAGGGATCTCCCCTCCGAGGCCGCCGCGGAGCGCTGGAGGGGGGAGCACGCCGAGGAGGCGGCTCGGCGCGCGGCGGACGCGGGCCGGGCGGCCCGGACCGAGGCGAGGCTGCAGACCGAGTTGGAGGACCAGGGCTCATTTCGATTCCTCCGATCCGATTTGATTCGATTTCAGAATCCGATTCGATTCGACTTCGGATTTCGATTTTGATTCTGATCTCTCAATGGAGCCCGGCGATCCGATTCGTGTTGATCGCCGATCTGATCATCGATCCGAATCTGGGCTCTCCTGGGAGACGGGGCGCAGGGCCCGGGCTGGCCGTCGTCGGGGCCCGCGGTAGTTTCGGGTCTCTCGTAATATTGCCAGGATGATTTTTGATGGGTATCCCGAGTGATAGATAGATGGCCAAACATATCTCTCCCCCCCACAACCTCCTTCTCACCCGAAGGGTCGTCGTAGAGGTATGCTAGAAGATCTTTGTGCTACATGTTCGGTTCGGACGTGTGCCTCCAAGAAGGGCGCATACTTACGAGTACGGTAGGTTCGAGTCGTGTCGACCAGCGGCGACCCCGCCGCTAGCGTTCAATGTTGACTGCCGCCAGCGACCGGGAATCGATCGATGTTGACGGATCTGACGCTTCGGAAATGGCCGACCGTTCAAGGTTAACCTATCCCCGCGTTGTCAGAAACCAAAACCGCAGTCGGCACGACACGAACCTGCCGTAGCGGGGGTTGCCATGAAGGGATGGGGGTTCTGAGGGAAACGGGCCCTTGAAGCTTTTGGCCTCCCTGGGCCCTCCATGGGCCCCGAGACTGTCTAAAAGCGTTTCGATCGGGCGAAACATGTCCTGGGCAAAGGCACGGTGGTCCAGGACCCGTTTCCCTCAGGACCACTTTTCTTCATGCCAGCGGGGGTCAGCGCTTAACGGGAGTCATCGCCAATCCCCTCCGAGATCCTTTGGCTGACCCAGGTTTTGGGAGCCACCCGTAGAGGACCTTCCCTCCCCTCCCTCCGCTGACGGGGCCAACCCTGTCCTCAGATCCGGTCGTCGCGAAAGAATCGCAACGGCCCGCTTCTCCACGTTTTCGGCCTCTGGGGGCTGCTTGCCTGGCCCTGGGGCCGAAACAACTGCTCGGGATGCCAAGCCGGTCCCCAGGAAGAGGTCGAGATCTCCAGGGGGCGGACGTCGCGAAACACATGCGTCGTCGAAGGAGGGGGCTCTGGACAGATTGGGGGCGAATGCTGACAGCAATTCGTGTCCATTTTGGGCAGGACACCCTATTGCTGTCGCCGCGGACGTTGTCCGTTCGAGATGAAAGTCGCCTGCCCAGTAGCGGCCGCTGTCGGTTTTGGACAACAGTTGCTGTTGGACATCGTGTGCGAATTTCGGCCGTTCCAGGACTCGCTGGGGGCGCGAATATCACCAGTCCCGATGCTTGAAATCTGGGAACACCGCCAGGATGAGAGAAATCAGATCGTCGGAGATCTGGGAATTCCTTGTGCCCAGTGCCGAGGGGCGCACGTCCTGGCCCTTTCCTCGATGGGGGCAAAACCACCCCGACCCCCCGAACTGGCGTTTACCAAAACCCCCGAACGGCCTGAGGCTTTGACAGAATAATCCTGCCCTGATCTGTTCCTTCCTTTGATGCATTGACTGAATGGCTTCGTTTGTAGGGTTGCTTGTTCCCCCCGCACAGTGCTTGCGATTAGGGGTTCCTATCTATTTCTCCGAACAGTGCTCGTACTCAGGGGCTCTTACTCATAGCACATCTCACTCAGGAGTTGGACGGGTCTGGCGAAGATTTTCCTCGTGCGCTCGGTGGGTCCGGCGAGGTTTCGCCACGTTGCCGCCCGTGGCCGTCCGTTTGCACCGCATCGCTTTCGCCGCAGTGCAATGACTTCTCGTCTGGGGTCCACGCAAGCAAACATTGTGAGGGTAGTTTGTCTGTCCACCGTTCCCCCTCGACTCCGTGGGCGACGCACACACCTCCGCATCCGCGGCCTCGCGGGCCGGGCCCCTGGGCCGTGGCCCGGCAGATACGGGGCGCTTTTTCGCGGACGCCCCTCGCGGGACGTATCCGTGCGACCGCGTGTCCGCGGGATCGCGCCCTTCAATCCAGACCGCGAGGGCGCGGACACGGAGGACTCCTCGTGCCCAGCTCCCGAGGGGCGCGCGCCCCTGGCCCCCCGCGCGCCCCGAGCAGGAGGGGCACGGCGAGCTCCTCGAGGAGCAAGGCCGTGGCAGGGCCGCCAGGGCGGACGCGGAGAGGGAGCGGGCGGCCCTTGAGGACGAGCTCGACCGCACGCGCAAGGCGGGCCCCCCCTCTGATCCTGCTCCTCCTCCTCCTCCTCCTCTTCTTCCTCCTACTCCTCGTCCTCGTCCTCCTCCTCCTCGTCCTCCTCCTCCTCCTCCTCCTCTTCCTCCTCCTCTCCTCCTCCTCCTCCTCCTCCCCATTCATTCCCCTTTTTTTCCTCTTCCCCCTTCTCCTCCTTCTCCTCCTCCTCCTCCTTTTTCTCCTCCTCCTCCTCCTCCTCCTCCTCCTCCGTAGCCATTTTGGCTCAAGATGCAGGTTTCCCCAGGGAACCAAGCGGATACCGCTAGTCCGCGGCTGGCAAGACTTCTTGAAGTCTGGCATCTCTTCTGGACCTCCTCACCTGCGCTCGGGTCGGTGGGTAAACGGAGGCCTTTCCCGTTCCTGTCGGCCCGATCGCGCGCGGCATGGGACCTGCCAAGTACGAGGGCACCCCGAGGAAGGAGTCGAAGAAGGACAAGAAGGAAAGGAAGTCCAAGAAGGACAAGGAGCGAAGGGACCGCTCTGACTCTCGCTCATCGAGGCGGTCGAGGCGGTCTTCCCCATCGGAGGGGTTCTCGACTCCTCCTGCTTCAGGTTGTGGTCATGCTGGGGATCGTCTTCGGCGCCGAGATGATGTTGGAGATGCAGCGGCGTCAGGGGCTGCGGGGAGCAGGGATGGAGGCGGGGCCCAGATGCGAGATGCTGCGCTCGAAGCTGCCTTGGACGCCCTTGATGCAGCCCCCACCTTCCCATCCCAGGAGATCGCTGGAGGTGAGCAAGATGGTGCAGGTCGTCGGCTGGACCCGCGTCGTCCCACTGCCTCGATGGATCCATGGGCTGCGGGAATGGTGGGCGGACAGCTGGCGGACCTCAAGCAGCAGGCCCTCTCCGAGTTCTCTGCGCTGGCGCTCGAGACCCTCACACGGGAACTCCCGGCGGCTCTGGGGCGAGCTGCTGGCCCGCTCTTCGAGAAGCTGGAGAAGAAGTGGGCGGACGCGATCAAACGGGTGCAGAACCAGCTGGACGAGCAGGGCGGCAGAATCACCAATGTGGAGGGGCATACGCGGGTGCTGGAGCAGCGGCTGGCCCACTTGGAGAAGGAGCTCGATCTTGCACGGGCGCGGCCGCGAGAGGTACCTGTTGTCTCATCTGACTGGGACAGGGCTGTGGACCACACGATCCTCGTGGTTCGCTCCCCTGACATCGTGCCCAAGGCCGGCGTCCAGGAGGCGCTCTCGGAGTGGCTCAAGGACGCTAACTTCGCCTTCGGGAAAGAGGCCGAGCTCTTGGGGGACGACATGGGCAAGCAGTTCACGGTTGCCTTCCTGGGTCCCATGCAGGCGACAAGAGAGTCTCGGCGTCGTCAGGCCCAGGGAGCGCTCAGGTTTCCAACGGGAAGATGGAGGGACTTCGCGGTCACTGTGGGCGGGCGCAGGTCCCCCATCTTCGTCTCCGTGGACAAGAACAGGAAGGAGATCGCCACGGAGATGGCATGCAAGAAGTTGCGCAAGGCATTGCAGAGTGAGATGGGCATCATCACGTTCATCGACAGGGAGGGCGGCCAGCTGCTCTCAAAGTGGGAGCCGCTTGCGAAGATCACCCCCTCCTCGGCCACGCGGGTCCCGAAGGTGGAGTGGAACCAGGCGGCGCTGGGCGACCTGGGGCTGGGCTACCAACAAGTCATTGATCTTGCCCGTAGGACATTCGTTGCTCGCGATATACAATGGTGCGGGTAGCACGTTACTGGGCTCGGCGTCTATCAGGTTCGCGAGTTGGAATGCATCGTCGCTTCTTCATTTTAATCCGAAGTTAGCTTCTAGGCGGGCGGTCTTGCTTGCCAAGCTGGCGCAAATGGATACGATCGTGGCGGTGCAGGAGACGCATGGTGACGCTGGAGCGGTTCAGGAACTACTGCATCGTGTGAGGGTACGTCATCATGCGTTCCAGTCTCATAGTGGGCCCACGCAGTCAGATGGTCTTCTCACCCTGGTTCCCATGAGAGACAATCTGGAGGTGTCGGAGCACGTGGTGATGGTCCCTGGCAGAGTCATGTATTTGAAAATTCGGTGCACTCTCAGTGGCTTCGTGTGGTACCACTGGAACGTTCACAATCACGGGCTGGACCGTATCAGAATCCACGCCATCAGCATGGTCATCGTCAAGCAACTGGCTGAAGTAAGACTTGATCCGATGATGTGTTCGGTCATCCTGATCGGCGATTTCAATCTTTCGGATGAGGCGGGCGAGGTGGCCACGGCGTTCAGGAAAGCAACGCCTGGCTCTGCGGCTGCTGCACACGTTGGCGGCCTGGAGAGACATGTGTCAGCCCGCGCTCGAGCCTCATCATCTCGCGCTGGCAAGGCTGGTGACAGCACCTGGAGGAAGATCTTCAGGAAGATGACTGAGCTCGCATTCGACAAGCCCACGCACTGGAACGAGGGCACCCAGTCTGCTGGAAAAATCGATCGCTGCTTCATCGCGTCGCCTCCCTGGGTTCTTTGCCAGACGCATCAGCACTGCAGGGTGGAGGGGGAGGTGGAGGAGCTCAAGAAGTGCGGCATGTCTGACCATGCCCCGATCATCGTGACGTTGGGTCCTCGTTCGGCGGAGACGTCATCACGCCCTCGTCCCTTGCCGAGGTGGGTGTATGAGGATAGGTTGTTTGAGCAGGTAGTCAAGGAGTTGGAGGAGGTGGTGGGGATTCAGGACATGATGATGGATGCTCCGAGGCTCCTGGAGGCGGCCACTCGTATTCGGCAATGTGCGGGAGCTATCGTTCGTGATGCAGTTGTCCGTGCGTCTCCATCGTCCTTGGCGTCTCGGGCCATGGTCTCTCGTTCGTTGGCTCGGGCGGTCTGGCGTAGCGACGTGAGATTGGCGAGAGTTCTCCTTCATCAGCATCCCTGGACCCAATCCCTGGTGCACATTGTCGGTGAGGTGCCCATGTTCCTTGACCCAGGTAAGTTCCAGGACCTGCATGGCAATCTTCAGAGACAGGAGTGTGCGAAGCGCAAAAAGGCTCTCGAGGAGGCGGCTGACCGGGAACAGGCTCCGGGCAGACGATCACGGATTGTCGCGTTGAAGCTGGCCCTTCATCGTCGCGCCCAGTTGTGGAATCCTCTAGCTCGGCGGAAATTCTTATCGGGGCTTCTTGAGGATGGGGCTCAGCAGGGAGAACAGCTTCGGGAAGATGGGCGGGCAGTGGGGGCTGAAGATAGGCTCGCTGACGGACTGGCGAGATACTGGGCCCCTGTGTTCTCCAAGGTCTCTGAGGTGCCCCCTGGAGGTGAGCAATATCTAAGGAGGTTCTCGAGTACCGTCGACTTCTCCAACATCCGCCCCCCCATGATCGAAGATATTCATCGCTTTCTCCGTCGGGTATCTTGGTCGGCCCCTGGCCCTGACGGCCTGCGCTACATCGCGTGGAAGTCTGGGCTTGGGCCTCAGGTCCTTATGGTGGTGCTCCAGTGGATCCTAGCGGGGAATCTCATGCCGTCCTCCTTCTCGGCGCTCTTGGCGGTGTTCATTCCGAAATCGGCGAAGGGTTCCCAGATCGAACCCGACTCGGGAGGGGTTCTAAGGTCAGCTGGTGACACGCGGCCCTTGGGGCTGAAGAACACGTCGAATAAGGTGATCTGCTCTGTCCTGAATGGGAAATTGCAGTCGGTCGTCCAAACGATAGGTGCGAGAACTCAGAACGGCTTCATTCGTCATCGGAACTTCCTCAACAATGTGGTGGACCTTGATGTATTCGCTCGGATTGCCAGTGTCGTGTCCCAGGATGACCCGACGAACTCGCCGTCCCTCATGACATTTGATTTTGCACAGGCGTTCCCCTCCGTCAGTCAGAAGTGGCTGTTTCGGTGTCTTCATCATCTACATCTTCCTGGCCCCCTAATACGTGCTCTCGAGGTCCTTTACTTTTGGTCGCCTTGCTACTATGGTGGTGCCAGCCTCTCTCTCCTCTACTTCATGGACTCAGGGGTCCTGCAAGGCTGCCCGTTAAGTGGTTCGCTTTATGTCATTGCTGCCAACTCGTTCTTACTGGATATCGAAGTTTCCTTGAACAACGGCTCCTCGTCCCTAGGGGCTGCTCGTGCGTGTGCAGACGATCTGGGGGCAGTCATTCGGAAGAATCGGGGATACTCTCGGCTAGCTCGTGTTTTCCGCAACGCTCGTCTGTTCGCCAACTTGGTGCTCAAGCCTGCTAAATGCTTTGTGATACCTCTTCGTGGACCCGCTCGCGAACCGTACACTTCGGAATTGCGACAGATTTTGATCGATGCCGACGCTGAGTGGGCAGATTTCCAAATGGTAGATGTGTGCACTTATCTGGGATTTCAGATCGGCCCTGGGGCCACGGTTGACGCACAGTGGTCAGAGGCGCTGGCCAAACATGCATCTCGTACAGTGGAGCTGAGCCGACAAGGGGCCCCGGTGCAAGTTGCTGCTAAGCTGTATGCCGATCGGGCGCTTCCTGTCTTGGGCTATATCTCGCAGTTGGTCCCTCTTGGATGGAAGGAGTGTCAACGGCAGCGCCATCTTGTTGCGCGGATTCTTCGTGCGCCGAGTTCGATGCTGAGAATGGGCGATTGCTTTGCTCTGACTGAATGGGGTGGGCCGAGGTTCACATCCATGTTCGTGCTGGCAGCGGCGACTCGCATGCGGTCTGCCCTCACGACGTGCTCTACATGGCAGGCGAGGCTCGAAAGGTTGCGGCAAGTGGTGACGGACATGGGATGCGCTGCCCTCTGGAATGCTACGGCCATGGCCCCACCCTTCTGGAGGAGCCCACCGTTCGCACGGTTTTTGGAGCAGGCTGCACTCGGCTTCGAACAAGATCGACACCTTGGCAGTGGTGGTATGATGGCTCTAGCACTTTGGACTGGCAGGCTTGGGAGAGGTGAACTTTCCCGTCTCTTTGGGCCAGCTGCTCTCCCTGGACAGCTGGAGAAGTTGCTTTGCAGTCGCGAAGATCCGCGGGATGAGAGTGTGAGGAGAACCCCGAGGACCAAATG